AAAATAAAAGAGTACAATCATCGTCTCTCATATATCATGAGGAACCATCACAACTGGTGAATTCATCCACCTTTGTAGAAGAAACACCTTCAATTGAAAATAAGTAACTCACTATTTCTCTTCCTGAGGGAGTTATGGAAGTGCAATTCATCGTTGACGATGAGGTAAAAACTATTTATGCATACCCAGGTACGTTAAGACACAAAAACCCTAACATCCCAGCGTTTTATACTGCTCATGGAATCACTGTTTTTGCCGCTTGAAAGCTTGTCTAAAAGTCTCAATCTTTCTTAAGTTAAGAAGTTGCATGTGAAAGTTTGCCTAATACTCGAATTCTTTCCACTTTAACTTCAACTATTGCTACTTCCTCAACCCGATCTCAAGATCTTGAATTCTTAATAGAGCCTTCACTTTTGCTTGTTGAGGAACGAGCTTGATATATATATATATATATATTTTTTTTTGTGTTTATTACTCTTTTTTTTAGGGGGGGTAGGGAGAGGGGAGGGAGACTTGAACCATTGACCTCAAGAAGACAAAGCCTTCACAAGGTAAGGAATACCATTGAACCAAAGGTCCGTTGGTAGAAAACATGAGTTATAGGATAGTCAATCCTTAAGAAAGCTATCTGATCGGGACCTAGTTAGTATATCTAAGCTAAGCACGGTTCAAACAGAAGGGAAATCCCTTTTTAAATAAAAAATACTAAAGCAGCAGATCGAGAAGAAGACAAGCGATCTAGATGTTTAGACATCATCGTTTGAATTGGAAGATGAGATTGGAGATGGCTAGTCAAATTTCGTTATCAAAAAAGATAAACACTGAAGCTCGAATGCTAATACAAAGTAATCAATCTACCAGATGACGTAGAACTCATTCTGGGAACATTTATCTTGGAGCTCAATCCAACTAGGTGACCTCATTTGCATGAGTCTGTGTTATTGAAGAAGATCTAAAAGAATTGACTACGATGAAGTCTCGTACATGCTGTAAGATATAACATACATTTTCTTCAACTATTCAACCAAGACACCCAAAAAGAAAAAAGGGATCTCATTCTCGCTAAAATTTCAAATACTAGGTAAAAACAAGAGTTCCTTCCTAGTCTTCTCGTCCACCTGTAACTTTGCTAGAGTACTTTCCCAAGAAATTATTACAAGAGAACTAATTAAATCTTATGTGATTAGTGTTCGCAAAGATAAATGCATAACTGATGCTCCATCAAATAAAGGTCTGGGGATTATAGGTGCCTAGAAGGAAGCACTGGTAGACGAAGAAAGGATGATTATAATACTAAAAGAAGTGCTATCAAACCTCATTCTGTTTGCGGCACTTGAATTATTTGAAGAAACCCTTAAAGCACTGGTACAAGCTTTGGAAAACCCAGAAAGATATAAAAAGAATATTCTAACTTGTGCCGATCGAGTTACTCATGTCGATTGTATGGCAACAATCTCATTCATTGATGAAGATTTGTTACTAGGGTCTCACACACATAACATACCCTTTTACATTAGTGGATATATTATAAAGTGTCTCGTATTTTGATTGATTGTGGATCAATTGTCAACACCATACCAATTGACACTATGAAACTATTTGATATTTCCATGGATGAGTTATCAAAGAGTAGACTAACGATTAAAAGTTTCAATCAGTGAGGGCACAGTGGTATGACTTGCCTCAAGATCAAGACTAGGGAATTGGTGTCTTTTACCTGCTTCCATGTCATTGATTCCAAAACATCTTACGAGCTACTACTGGGACGGCCTTGACTCCATGAGACAGGATTTATGTCATCAACATTGCATCGATCCTTTAAATATTGTCATGACAGAGAAGTGAGGCAAGTCATTACTGAGATTAAGTCTTTCTCAATGGAAGAATCTCATTATGCAGATGTCAAGCTCTACTTTTAAACAGAACTCATCTTAGAGGCTTTTCCTATTACTATGCCAAATACCAGACTGTCAAGAGAAAGAAAAGAACAACTTTTGACAAATGACATCAAGCTTTTGAAGGAAGACTTAACCTTACCCTTAACTCAGTTATTAGAACTAACAATCTCTAAATCACCTCTGAAGGCCTTTATAAAAGCTTTAGATGTAGAGGAAATAAGAGATTGTAAAGAATGTTGGGTTGATCACCAATTTAAAAAAATCTTTGAAAATGCAAGATAAAATAAAGGTGAACCACATCAACTTGGGAAACTTGATATTGTGCTTCTAAAAGAGCAAATTGATGAGTCAATAGTAATGGAATGAATGACAAAAGAAGAGCCTTCTGCAAAATCACAAATTTGGCTTATAATATTTTTCTCTCCAAATTAGAATATTCTCTCTCATAAATGTATATATATGTATATTCATACATGATAACAGATCCAAAATGAAGGAGATTAATTTTATTTAAATTTTAAAATGTGTGTTTTATATGGGTATTATTAAACTTTCTATTTAAATTATAATGGTGATACCACTTTTTATTTGATATGAATTTGTCTTTAAAGACCCAAAAAATAAGTGCTCAGATCATCTAACTTAAAATATCACTACATAGAACTGACCACCAAAAAACCTTTCATAATTTTGATGATAATCACAATCCCACCATTTTAATACCACTCCCTGTGTGTGTGGGTCTATAAAAACCAATAAACATATGCTTAAATAAACTCTGCAAACTAAGCAAAAAAAGCCTAATTGTTAAATCCTCATGCTTATAAATTTGCCAAACATGGAAAATGAGGATCCCTCGACTGTTTTTTTTTTTTTTTCAATCCCACCCATTACTCCATCCCATTTTCATAGGGCATGTTTGGCTAGCCAAGGAGGGCTGGACTAATTTGGATTTAGGCCATATCAACTCCTTACTAAAATTTAAATATGAATAAAAATAGATAAAAAATAAGCTCTAGTCTTTGATTTAAACCTATACCAAATGAAAGAAAACTAAGTTTTTACTTGAATCAAGATAGACTCAAACTTTTACTCAAATCTTCAATGATCAGATTTTATTGTTTTAAAAAATTCAAACGACCATATTTTACATTCTTTTAACTTTAAATTTGTCCATTAGAGTGTCTTGTATCAAATTAATTTTTTTACTCATATTTTTTTATTCAAATTTAAATTTGAATTTGGATCAACATGGAAGATGCTCTTGGAAGACAAACACTATCCAAGCCAATCCATTAACATACGACTACAAGCTTGGAAAAGTTATCCAATCCTCCATTTGGTTATCACCTTAGGCAAATGTGGGCCCCATTTACCAGCCAACTTAGATAGAAATCAAATCTCATTACTTTGATATCAATTTACCATCATATCCTTGAAATTATAATCCAAGCCAAGTCTATGTCATGTGTTGGCTTGCCAGGAGTAGTTTACATTTGAATTTTGTACTGAAAATTTTGTAATGGTAAATTATTGTACAAAATCTGAATTTTGCATTCCATACACTATTCACTCTACCCAAAAATGTCATCCCTGCAACTATTACATACTAATAATTCCACCTTAGTAGAAGAGAAATATATTTTGAATCAATTTTTTTTGGTTCTTTATGTTATAATTCCATTATGCTATAATTAAAACATCCCATTATAAAAAGAAAATTAAAAAAGTCTAGATCCACGGTGAGCCAAGAGCTAGGACCCAAGTCTAGATCCATGGAGGAGAGAGAGAGAGAGAGAGGGGAAGAAGAAGAAACCTGGTCCACAATAACAGCGGGCTGGTGGAGGGGTTGGTGAAGAAGACACTCAAAAGGTTTTAACCCTTAACTTTTAATGTTGAGGAGCAGCATGGTAAATTGTCCTGCAATCATGTCGGCAACAAAATCCCAAGAGATGTATACCACACAACCCGTGTGTTTAAAATTTTCAGCTCAGAGGGAATAATTCAGGTCATTTTATTACGTCGAACTATATATGAAATTTATCATAATAGTCAAATATGATGTTTAGATAAGTTTATTCATCATTTCTTCTTTTAAGCTATTGTCCATCATTTCAAAGTGAAATTACTGCAACACTCTTACACTCAATTTTATCCAATTATAGATTACCTATTATATACCTCTAATTAGGCCTGTCAAAACTCGACACTACACGATTAACTAACACCAATTAAGCAGGTTTAAGTAAGATCTTAATGGATTTGTATGATAAACGGGTTGACTCGTCAAACACGTTTAATAAGCGAGTCATGTTTGGGTGAGACCTGTCAAACCTTTTATTACACGTTTACCCGTTTAAATAAAATTAATATAATAATAAATTAATAATTAGTTAAAAAAATTAGCTAGAAAAAAGAAGTAAATAAATCAATACAAAAAAAAAACAAAAGTAAAAAATAGTTCAAAGACAAATTAGGAGAGATGGAGAGCAGTTCAAAGATAAAGACAAACTAATATTTTTTGTTTTTATCCCATATCGACAAATGAGGAGAGATGAAGAGGGCTAACTTGACTATAAAAGACAGTGGCCTCTTGTCTTCTGTTTTAGCCTTCAATTCTGATTTTTATGTGAGATTTAACTAAAAATTCCTCTTCTTTGAGATAAGTACAGTTGACAATAAAAAAAAATAGAATATTAGAATTTGTTAGATATAATTTCTTTAAAATTAAACAACTTTAACAAATCGTGTTGTGCGACACGTTTATTAAACGGGTTGTGTTCGTATTAAGATTATTCACCGTGTCGTGTACAGATTTATATGTTTTTCACTCGTCACCTATTTAACTTGACACATAACTGTTTAATCCAACACATTTAACACACCTACCTCCAATACACATGCACGAGGCATTAACTATAAATTGGTACCCTAAACAACATGTGGGGGATTCACCATCAGGTGGAATAAAAAAAAATACATTAATATGATTTGTCCAACCAGTGATCCAAGTTGCAATGAAGTGCACGAAGCACATTCCATCCTTCCCAAGCAAAAAAAAAAAAAATCTCAAAAATACGTGTTTGTACCCACATGGATACTTCATACCTGGTTTGGCACAAAAGGGGCAGAGCCCAACTCAAACACAGCCTGATCCCTACTAAATTTATGGAGCATGACCATCACCTTGGCTGCTTTCAATGATTTGATCTTGATACCCAAAAAAATACAATAGGAAAGTTTATTGTCTTTTTGTCCAAAATACAATTTTTTAGATTAAGTTACAATAAGAAAAATTCATAGATCCTAACATATTTGGATCGATCCTAAAAAATTACAATTTTTTAGGTTACAACCCTTTTCAGTATTTTGGATCAATACTAAATTTTAAGATCAATTCTAACAATTTATAATCAATCACCACGACTGGTTTTCACCAACCCACTTTAGCACAACTAAGAACCCCATGCCTTTGAGTGATGAATAACTATCATTGGCAAAAGAAATCAAAGGCAATACGCGGCGTAGAATACGCGGTGGAAAGTATTTTTGAGGTTACAATTGAATTAGCTGCTTCACTGTAATGGATTCCATCCCAACTTAAGAATGGAGATCCTACATTGCAGACCTGATACCCGGGCTGACCACAAGTCACCTTGATATTGTAGTTGTATGGAGGTCCTCCAAAGCCGCAACATGCCATCAAAGGACTTGAGAAATCTGCAATTTGAACACCATCAAAAACGTTGGCAAGTTGACTTTAGTGATCAAAGAAAAGCAATTAGAATCTAGAGATATCATTCTGCCACTGAGTTGGAGCCTTCATCAGCTAGACTAAGAAGGGCAATCCGATAAACAGTAGAAGAATAGAAATTTCATTCTCCTATAACTGATGTGAATTCTATGCATGCATTTTTGAACTTGTACCAGAAAAAAAGTCACTCCAGTAATACGGAAACGAAAAATAGGGAAGCTGGCAGGAAAGAGATCCAGATCAATGGCTACGTAAGTCCAGTAAGGTTCTTAATTGGGATAATTATTTACTTTTCCTTGTTCATTGTTGGATGGTTTGGAGAAGGGGAAAAGAAGTGATCTTCCAAGGCACTCAACTGCAGAGATTACAAAGGCAGCTGAAACATACTCAACGGCAATCCCAACAGTTGATGGACAGTGGTTCTTTTGACTTGTTTCCTCATTCTGTGGAGTGCCTGGGAGCCTCCCAGGGTAGGCAGGTATGTTCAAATTAATTTTGATGGTGCCACCTTTGAGGTAGATCACCTATCAGTGTTCTGTTGGCTAATCTATAATATAAAACAGGACGTGCTTCAATAAGTCTATCCGACGTTCTCAAATAAACTCATCCAACAACCAGTAACATCTCTTTCAAAACCATTCACATTGAACCGTGCCTTCAGGCACGAGTCATCCCTTGTCTGGTAATAAATGTAAGTATTTTGTGGCTGCCTTCTCCAAGAAAATGGCTGCCAACAATGGAGTAGAGGTTATAGAAACAGTGGTTGGTAGGGAGTATTGGCAGTATGTGGGAAGATTTTTCTCCTTTAGATGCCATCAGATATCAGGAATATGAGGTTGAATTCCAGGCTTTGTCCTAGTGTTAACACCTCGTATGAAGGTAGTAGGGTTTTACATCAACTAGCTAGACATGCTCGCTTCATTAGTAATTCTGATGTATGGCTAGAGCAGGCATCTAATTTTACCATGCCTCTACTGTTTGCAGACATTCCTTCTTAATATAATTACTAGAGGTACAACTTAGGTTGGGCAACCCGATTTCAATCCGAGCCCAACCCGAAAAAATTAGGACTTGGGCAAGAATTTTTAATACTTAAGTTGGGCTGGGGTCAAAAAATCTCAACCCAAATTGAATTTGAGTTGGGCTCGGGTTAACGCCTCGTGAACCCGAGTTCAACACGAACCCGACAAATTAAAAAAAAATTATATATATATAAAGCATTAGCATTGATTTTTCATTTTTGTTCTATCGTTCTCTATCTCTCTCGTTCTCTTTGCCTCTCTCGTTCTCTCAGCCTCTCTCGTTAAAAATTTGGTTGAAGTTATTGGTTGTTAATTTAGGTGAATATCATGTAATATACGTATTAGGTTTAGAACAACAAGCCTATTTTGGGCTCTACCCGAATTAAACCCGTAAAAATAACTCGAAATCACCCGAACCCGCCCGCCCGAATTAAACTCGGGTTGAGTTCCCCAACTCGAAGTAGGGTTAGGGTTAGAGTTAAAGATTATACATCTAGAGTTGGACTAGGGTTAATTGTTCCACCCGCCCGACTTGCACCCCTAATAATTACAACTGTTTCTTGCAAAAAAAAAAAAAAACAAAAACAAAAAAAGAAAAGAAAAATGAGGAAGCCATTTGTTTGAATATGAGTCCTTTCAAAGGAAAAAAATCTTGTCAAATTCTAGAACTACAAATTGGAATGCCACTTTCATGTGTTGCATTGAAAATATCTGTGAGATAAAAGAAAAGGATCCTAACATGATTTTATCAAAATAATGAAATCATTATGTCAGAAGAATAAGGTCTCTCGAAAGATGCAGCACAAGAATTAATCCATTTCATTTTCAACGCACATGGTCCCACACTCTATGGTTCTTGAGACCCCACTTTTTTATATGGGATTCAGATGCAAGACAATTAAGTGTATAGTGATCCCCAGGCATCTCATTTCAGATGTGTGTTCTTAAGATGTATGATAACTCTGATCCTAGTCATCATATCCACAAGCTAAAATTCAATTATTTAGTTCACTAGTTTGAATAGAAAAACCGATAAAAGATTGAAAAGCTTACCATATTTGCTAGAGTTGACGATGAAATCATACTTGATCGCGTATATATCCACATACACAACAGTAGCATCTCTCAATGCAGTTCTCAATTCTTGGCACAGATGGCGCAGACCTTCATTGAATAATTTTGCAGCAGCATTGTAACTTGAAAGACAACCATAAGGATCAAGATCTTTGGAAGTTTTTTGAACTAGTGAGATTTTTTGAGGGAGACAGCCCAATGGCCCTGAGTTGTGGACCCAAAATTTCCTGCCACCTTGACTATATACAGCCTAAATTTGCCATAAAAGAAAAACCAAGCTCGATCAAGAACTCACACCTTCTTAATTAGCATTTGAACACAAAGATTAGCTTTTCTAACAGAGCAATAAATCATTTTATTTTATGTAAATTACCCACAGCAGGTTGGGTCCACATTGCAAAGTTTGGACCTTTTTCTCAGTTTTCCAAGAAAGTTCTCATCAACTACAAGAAAATTCAGCCATAAATCTTAGTAGTCTAAGTTGTTACTGTGACAATGTTTTGCCTTTGACAGGTTTCTAGAGTTGGTTATGATGCATATCTTTTCAGTTTTCAAAGAATGACGAGCAAAAGAAAATTCAAAAAACAGGATTTCAAGGTAATGTTTAAAACAGGAAGAGTGAGAGAAATAGAAAGTAAAATTTCAAGAATTTGAGAATAGCTCTCATCACTGCCCTTCCTGTTGTAGGTTGGACTTCTAAACTCACCTGAATAGCATTCTTGATTTCTGTAATTATGGATGGGATTTTTTGACAACTTGCGCATAAGACAGGTTCTTAGCAAATGAATCAGAGAGGTCATTTTGTCCAATGTCGATCATATAGAGAGCATTACGGAATCCTTCATCATCAATTAGATTTCCAGAGCCTAACATAAGTTTAGAATGACATCAATTCACCATTGTATTACTACTTCCAACCACAGCAAGACAAAAAACAGAAACAGTGTCAACTACAACAACAAAAACAAAAAAATAATAATCTCACAACTTTAAGCATCATTTCCCAATAGAAGTTCTACTAATCATAATCTACAAAAGTTTGTCACTTGTGGAGCTTAATTAGGGTTTCTGGATTTTTCATTCTGTTGATTGTTTTGAGATCAAATGATCAGGTCTATGCCATAGCTAGGATGTTTAAGATAATTAATTGCAACCATCTAATCTATAAAAATTTAAATATCTTATATGTTGAGCTATGGAAGAAGAAAATTATCTGGCCATAGCAAAATTCCGTTGTTGACACATGTAAATGCAAGTCAAAAGCAGCAAACTGAAAACCTAGGATTTTGGTTTTCAATGCAGAATCCAGGTAGTTTTACATAAGAGTTTTACTGCATTTTAGTAAGTTGAAGTCATATTGTAATGAATAGCGCTGCATGTAAATGTGTTTTTATGAATGTACCATTAGTATAATTCAAACAAAAAGCAACAATTTTTCAATTTAACAATCTTCTTAGTTCTTATGTCTATACTTTTATTAATACTTCTATACTATTAATAAAAGTAACTCAGCATGAAAATTTTTTGATTTATTATATTACCCTTATAAATAATTTTAAATACCACAATATCCTTCCGTAGTTAAATATCTAAATTACTATCATATTCTTATGTGTTTAAATCTTCAAATTACTCCTAACAATTTTTTTAATTTTCTATTCTCAATGTATAAATATTAATATTTATGAAACTTTTTAATTAATTATATTACCCTTTAAAAATAAGCATTGATTAGAATATTAATAATTATTTTTATTATTTAATGAATTCTAAGTTGAAATGAATTTCAAAATTAATTATTTTTATCTTTTTTTTCTTATACTTATAACAATGAATTGTTGAGAACAAACAAAATTATCTGAATTCTATAGACTATAATATAATACGAGCGATAAAAATATAATTTTTATAAAATTTCAGATAGTATTTAATTTAGGTACGCATATTCTTAAAACTTTTTTTACGTGTAACACAAGTAGGGCATGACTACTAACCAAAAAATTAGCTATGTTATTTCTTGGCAGTTGGCACTTCCCTTGAAGGTCAATCAGAGCATAATGTGTGCAACCCTTTTCCCTCCTAGTTTAGGTAACCAAGGTTACAAGTGAAACCCTGAGAAAGTGAACTGAGCAATTACCTGCATGAACAAGTTCAAGGGACCTAGCCTTGAAATGAAGGAACTGCAGAACCTGAACATTCAATGCAAAGGGTACGTATTTAGGCAAAGTAGAGGACCCCACCACTGCAAAATTTGCTCCATTTGAAAATGTAGTCCCCACCGAGTCCAGGTATGGGCTCAGAAAACTAGTGTTCACACTTTGGCCTGCACAAAAAAGTCAAATATACTGTGAATCTGCGACCACGTTTGTCCAGTTAATAATAGCCCTAGTCCATAACAAAGCAAAACCCTGAAATATGCGGTTTTCTCCACCGTACACGTGGAGATATAAAAATATAAGAAGCTGTCCATGTACAACAACCCATTATGTACAGGACCCAGGCTTGATCACATCATATGGCAAAAATGGCCCTTGTTTCGCGATCACTTTGATAACAATAGACCCCACAAAAATTTTAAAACATGGCTACCATTGTTTTCGTTGCAATAAAAATTCCATAGAATATTTTTTTCTCAAATTTAATGATAATTATTTTATGTAGGGCCCACTAATTTTAATCTAGTCGGCCCGCACCATGTCGGTGGCCGCTGTGAATTTGTTTTAAAACCGCAACATCCACGTCTTGAATGACGAAATTTTCGTACACTAACTATCATTACCTAACCAACAAATCACAGAAAAGATTATGGTATAAAAATAAAAAATAAAAAAATCAGTATAATGTCTCTATGTATCACATTTGTGATTTTTCGAGATGACTCAGGCCGATCCTATCTTTATTTAAGAGGAGGAGCCGGACGACGAAACGTCCTCTGTCTCAGACGCGACTCTTTCGGTGTTTTTATATTATGTTGTAGTGTTCCAAAAAATGGTAAAAAATTAGTAGCACAATAGGGATAAAAATACTTTTAAATGTAATAAAAATATCCATGATAAAATACACAAATGTGGTAATTTTTTTATATAGAAGAAAAGTTATAAAAATAATGCAAAAATGTGAAGTGGAATTTGAGAAGAAAATTACATGAATGAGACAGAACAGAAATGTACACATAAACAGTTAAAAGATGAGCAATGAAGGAAATTTTTGGGTAACAACAATAAAAAAAAAATCACATGAATGTGACAGAAAATGTAGAAATGCACTGATAAGTAGAACTAACGTCTGTTACAATCAATATTTTAGTAGGTTGGGCAACTTACAGAGAAAATCGATCACAAGACGTCCATCGGAGAGTCGACCGGTTGATCTCCCAAAAAAGGTGCGACCATTGGGAAGGTTGACGGGAAAACCGAGTCCGGCGACGAGTCCACCGGTGTCCGAGTTGGAATCGCCGAAATTGAATATTACAGGTGATTTCGTGCACCGACAGAGAACTGTTAGTGGAAGAGAGAGAAAGACAAAGAGAAGAGTTAGTGTAAAGAAATGGGTAGGAGTAGAGAGACGAGAGAGTGAAGTGAGTGAAGCCATTGGCATAAGGCACTGATTTTGCTTGGACATGCTTTGCAATTACAGTGCTTTGGAACTTTAGAAAGGCTGTGACGCACTATGTGGGGTCCACGGATTTCATCCGGATTATGGGTAAACTGCAGAGTGCAGACAAATGGTTGGACGATTAGTCGACCCCTCTTGCGTCAATTTTCAATCTAATAGTACAATATTAATTTTTAATTTATAAAATTCAAATAATAATTATGAATAATTTATTTTTACTTATTTCGATTCGTTAATTTATTTTTTTATAACAAAATTATCATCTTTTTTACACGACTTTTAATATCAGATAATTCAACTAAAACGCTCTTAAATATCATATAGTCTCACTAATTCACATTTATATTTTTCTTTTCTCTCGCATTCTTTTTTTTTAGGTTACATTTGGAAATGTTGTCGATTTTTAATTTTTTTTAAAAATAACTATTAAAATAGTTTTGATTTTTTTTATAAAAAAAATAAAAATAGAAAACTTGTTTGATTGTATTTTCTATTATAAAAAAATGAAAATAGAAACAAAAAATTAGCTTGATAAACACTTCTAAATTATTTTATGAAGAACTTATTTACATCAAACATTTTCATGCTACTTTAACTGTAAAAATAACAGAATATAGGGATAATACATTAAAGCATAACATAATTCATAAAACATTCATACTACAAATATATCTCATAATTTACAAAAATCCAAGATAATAATCTATATAAACATCAACTCATTAATAATAATTTGAGATAATAATCCATATACACCAAAAATCATATGCCTCAATGTCTAACACTTGCCCACAACTCATTGGCAATACAATTTCGCACACGAGTCATTTTGATAAATCTGAGTTAAATTGATATCTACTTTAATCAGGTTCTTTGAATTCGATCCTGCATTATCATCACCCTTTCTTTATTATTGAACTCATCAAATAATTGATCTTGAGCAGCATGCATTCTAATAAAGTTGTGAATAGGTACAACAAATTGTTGAAATATATTTTTGTGTTTTTATAAGGTAAGGGCCATTTGTTTGAGATTAAGAAATCGAGCATTTAGTACTCTAAAACAACACTTAATGACATTCCAAAGTGATGAGTGACGGTAATTGAATAACTCTATCTTACTCATTGGACATCAGTTACTACCTCTATAGTCACGTAAATGATATATCTCACCACGATATGATAACAAAAATTCAAACATGTTTGTATATCCAACATCAAAAACATAATATTTTTTTGTCAAATGGTACACTTATAAAATAAGTGATAAGTTATAAATTCTACAAATACAAATAAAGGTTACAATGAAGAATATAAACTCCTTCAGGCATTGGGAAATTATTTTCTTAATTGTTAATGGACTCAATAAATATTATCAAGTCATTAACAGTTCCTCCTAACCACTCATAACAAATGTGATCGCATGTCGGACTAATATGCACACATGACATTTTGTGTTGGTTCAACTTTTCTTACCACGCTATGAGATTTGTTTACTCATTGGCACAAGTGAGTCAACATAAGTTTCATTTATAGCACCAATACAATTCTAAAACATAATAGAATATTAATATGCATAAAAAAGTGTATAACAAATAATAAGAAATAAAATATACATTACCTTACAGAAAATTATAACTTTTTAATGTCAAGTTACAATTTTTCTAGTTTGTTTTCAAGACAAATTAGATAAAATAAAAAATAAAAACAATTATTAAACACGTTTTTGTTTTTATTTTTGATAAAAATTAAAAATAAAAACACAAAATAAGAGACAAAAACACCAAACAAACAATCTATCTATTCGGCACTATACGAAAATTTAACTATTTGTTACATAGTCTTTCTTCTATCAAGTAAGCGACCCCCAAAAATTTCTCTAGAATGTTTCACCAAATCTCTAATAAACAATTTATCATTGGCCCTGATGTTGGGCTAGATTGATTATGGCCAGGCCCGCCCTGGGTTGGCCATAAAACTCTGGCTCAGGACGAACTAGGATTGAGTCGGCTACTGAAATGGATTATGGGTTTTTTGGGTGTGGCATATTTTATTAGACTTATTTGAGAGAAAGTGTATAAATAAATTATTTATTCTATTAAGTTCAATTTTAATAAAACATCTTATGATTAGGTTCAAAATTCAAATGACCTTTTATTTATTCTACTTAATTACCCTTCCTTAAATTATATATAATTCTTGTTTTTTCACTTTCTCTTTTTCTCTTATTTCTTACATCGTTACTCTCTCTCCTCCTATTTTTCTTTCTCTCTCTGTTAATCTCTCTACCTCTCCACTATTTTTCTTCTTTCTCTCTCCCATTGATAATTTATTTTCTTTTCAAATATATAAAGATTTGATTTGACGTTTTTCATATCTCTCTCCTATTTTTTTCTCTCTCTCCCCCTCTCTTTATTTCCTCTCACCGTTTCTCTATCTCCTTACTCTCTCTTTATATCAATGTTACAATAACACAATTACACTAGTCAGTTAAACTAATTAGTTATAATTTTCCTATAATACATAAAACAGTTACTCATGTGTTCTGATAAATCAAATAATTATACCAAACAATTATACGAAATTATAACATCAACCCAATTTTTCATTTAGTTATTTACATAAATCAAAGAATTACATAATTTAGTATCATAACATGGTTATACCAATTGTATACACCATATTTGGTGTAATGGTAAACTCCATGCCATGATACTAAATAGTGTAACTTTTTAATTTATGTAAACAACTGAATGAAAAATTGGGTTGATGTTGTAATTTCATGTAATAGTTTGGTTTATCAGAACACATAAATAACTGTTTTGAGTATTATAAGACAAATATAACTCATTGGTGTAATTATATTGTTGTAACGTTGATGTAAGAAGAGAAAGATATGTTAAAGAGAGAAAGAGTAACAATGAGATAAACTAGGGGGAGAGTGTGAGAGAAAGAGAAAAAAAAATAAGGGAGAAAGAGATGAAAAAATCAAATCAAATCAAATTTTTACATATTTGAAAAAAAAATAATAAATTATCAATACGAGGGGGGGAGAAAATAGGGGATTGATAGAGAGAATAACGGAGAGAAAGACGAAGACAATAATAGAGAGAGAGATTGACAGAAAATAGGAAATAGAGAGTAATGGAGTAATGAATAACTTTGTAGTCTTTGTCCAAAAAAATACACTTAGGATCAAATAAGTTTGCTTAATGTAATTTAATTCAATTAAGTCCAAAATTTTACATCGGCTTCCAAATTTCCCATGGATTATCTAGACAAGGCCCAACCCTTTGGCAATCCTCTTGGCCCACTATGTTTTAAAATTGAATATTAATACATATTCATCAACTTCTATAATTACATAGTAAAAATAATCAATGGGATTAATAAAAGAGTTTTTTGGAGGCCTTACCTATACCCAATAGGATTTCAAAAAAAAATTCACTCACCAATTACTTTTGAATTAGGTCCCTATTAAAAAAATCAAAGCAATGGATATAACTAACGATCCTTTAAAATTGAAAAAATAATGACAATGATATCACGTAATTGAAACACTTATTCTAAAAAACTATATCATCATAATGTACATTATTCTCCATAAACACAGATCGTCAGATAAGTACATTAAAATAAGATGATTTGTTCTCGATTAACGTACCTCTTAATATATATGTGTTTACATAAGTACACAAAATATTATATATAACGAGTAACATACACGATCATTCAAGTACATTATATGAATATATACATCTACAAGATATGTACATTAGTATTTAATTGAGATGAAGATACATATACGTCAATACAGATACACAAGTACATAAAATCAAACACATTTCAAAATTACACAAATCATAACAAACATGTACCAAAACTTACCAACGAATATGTAAAACTTAATTACTGTGATCTAATTTATGTATCTACCAAATCAACACTTAATATAAATGACTTGTATATTTCAAATTACTTGGTTCATAAATTTGAAATTCAAAACTAATAGATAACACCACAAAATTCTCAATTATAAACGAAAAAAAAAAAATTAACTGTATTTTAAGCAGAAATCATGTAATGAGGGCAAATGGGTAATGAAAACACATTAGCTGCCCAACCCCTCTACGTTTGCGCCTACCTAGGGACCACATGCAATTTTTTTAAAAAACACGGAAGACCTTTTTATATATTAAAAATTGAACAAGACTAAAATTAATTTACACACCAAATGAGGACCCTAGCCTAATTAACTATTAATAGAATAACATATTACATATTAGGAACAAATGTTTGGGCCGAGCTGGCAGGCCATGGTCCAAAACCTTTGGGGTGTTTAGTGTACTTTGCTCATTGTAACTTGCCAGATTGAAGCCTGTGTTTGTGAGTCACTTGATGAATATTCGCTTCCCTAGGCTTTTGACTCGGGCGTTCTACTTGTTTTGTGTGTACCCCAAAAATGACAGGTTAGAATTATCTGGAGCGGGAAACGATATGCTCAAGAGCAATGTTACACTGATTAAATTATGGAATCAAATTTAGAGCTCAAATAATATACTGATTTAATTTCAAAATTTGATCAGTATAACATTACTGTATGCTCAATAGATGTTACAAATGAGTGAAATTAGTATCAAACATAAATAACCTATTTAACTTGTATTTAATAGAGATATATAATGCATAGTTTTGTATATATATATTTCCATTTTTGGATCTAACATTATTCTTGAATTAATTATTTTTTATTTAATTTTACTGAAAAGAGCAATATGCCGATTCAGAAAGCCTACATAGAGTGGTTTTCATTGAAAGAAAAGGGTGCCTTATCTTTGAAAAAATATTCATTACAACAGTGATAGCACATCAGTATTCTAACCAATACTGTGTAAATAAATAGAAAAATAGACCCCACATAAGTTAATAACTACCTGTCCAAGTAAGTTAATAACTATTTACTTTTCTTTCATATAA